CCGTGGGAGAATGGACGAAGGTAAGATTTCTGGCGTCACTCTGAATTTGTCGAGGAGGGGGGGAGGAAAGGGGAAACGCAACTTGTTCACTGCGGCTGGGAGGTTGCCGGTTCGAATCCCCCGGCCGGCAGAGGAATCCTACTCTGCTGGGCCCCTGAGCAAGACCCTTCACCCCAGCTGCTCCAGGGGTGCCGTATAAATGGCTGATCCTACGCTCTGACCCCCAGCTTCTCTCTCCCTGTCTGTGTGTCTCCTGGAGAGCAAGCTGGGGTCTGTGAAAAAGACACGTTCCTAACGCAAGGCATTGAATAGGGACGATTAAAGTGATCTGATTAAGGACAGGAGGAGAAAAACGAGGTTTGAACTCATCCAGGTCTGGCTGTGATGGGACTGGTTGCGTTACTTAGAACAACTAGTTGAATAATACACGAGAAATTGTGTCTGGCCAAGAAAGTGATCTGATCTAGCCACCCCCTTGTGTTAAAAGAAGGGGTCTGTAGCACATCGGTAGGAGGACGTGCATGATTTTGGAGCCCTGAGCAGGGAAGAGAGCTTGATAACCTTTAGATATTTCAGGACTGTTCTGGTTAAATGACCCCGAGGAGAAAAAAACACACTGAGCGTCTCTGCGTCTCTTCCCCTACCCATGGGCGTGAGAGACCAGATTCCTTTTCTGCTGACCACCTGCAGAAAGGGAGGGTCTCCAGCTGCAGCCAGAAGGAATCCGGAGAATGTGGTTCTCCTGAGTAAAATGACTCCACTCCTTTTTGACGATTCCCCCCCCCCCCCTCTGCTGTTGTGGGGGAACGTCTTCATCAGAGGAAGACGGGGACACACGTCTTGTGCAGATGCAGTGTGATTGAGCCTCAATAAAGACCCCAGCCCACACTGGGTCTGCCCCACAGGACAGACACCTTGCAGGGGCTTCCCAGCGCTTATGTAGGGTCTCCCAATCTGAGTGCTTGTCCTGTTCTTTGATAAGGAACAAGTAATAGGTTTGTTCCAGGCTGAAAAGAGAAGAGAGAAAACGCAACGTTTCGGCTCAGGTATTCTTCACCTGTTCTTTGATATATAATTACTTCCTGTCCTGCTCTGGGTTCTGTCCTTTGACACGCAGCAGACATTGATCTACTTTATCCTGTGTGGGGTGTGGGTCTGGGTCCTGTCTTTTGTTCTGTAGCGTTAGGTCACTGGGGCCGGTAAAACAAG